TTGCCGACCCGCTTCTTCCTGTCCACATGGTTGGCAAAGACAGTGAACGTGCCTCTGATTGGTCAGGCCAGTGCCTTAGATGGTAGCTTGGTGTCATAATTGTGGGTGAATGGATCACTGAGAAGAAACTTGGAGTAAAAGCACTATATAAATGTTTTGCATGTATAAAAAAAGAACTTAATTTTACTGTAATTTTCCATTGTTTAAAAAAAAAAAACAATTTTCAAAGATGGACAGACACATATTCCAGCCATTACATCACCTTACACCACCTATTTATTGAATATTCATATACAGAAAACACAGGCTCATATTACACTTCAAATCATGATAATAATAGCAGTAATATGATAATGATAGACACAGAATTATAACAATCATAGTAATCATACTGTGTTAAAAACATGGGAATAACAATTATTCTTTCATTAAACTCCTCGGACATTTCAGTATCACTGTAAATAATAATGTTGAGTGATGGCATTCTACCTCAGATCAAACAAGGTCACTGTGAAGTTAAAATGAGGTTGTAATGCAGATAACACAGACTCACACACACACACACACACTCACACACACACACACTGGTAAATATGTACATTTGGAGCTATAGCACACAGTGTCGCCCAGCGACTGTGTGTAACTTTTCAGTAATTCATTGAATTTTAATGAGGCCTGATAGACTTAAATCATCCCCAGGTCTATTTTAACATAATTACTGTGTATTTGGCTGGAGCAGAAATAATAATGGTTACAATCACACACTTTTTAAGTATCAGCACCCCTGTGTTCTTCACAGAAACACACATCTATGTCACTTTTTAATCAGAGAAGTTCACTTTTTCCCAGAGAATATGTTAATTATCTTATGTTAAAAAGTAACAAAATGTGTCACCTCATGTTGGAAATATGAACAATTCTTTTAATGAAGCCTTTTGCTGCATTAAAACCATTTCTGTTTATTTGTCCTGGATTCAGAGGGTATGTAACGCTGGGATAATGGCTGCACTTCTCTGTGTATGAGTCAGAGCAGCTCTCACTGCTCAGTCAGCCACTGCTGACTGAGCTGCTCGTGTACTGTAGTGTTATATTTAAGGCCGGACACAAGGCTTTACTGTGAAAAACATCCAATTAAAATGTTACATAACTCAAAGCTTTAATTCAGTCTTGCAGCAAAGGCTGTGCAACTTCCTGAAAGCTGTAGTAGCTCGATTTATTTTATCATTGTCAGCTGTTCACATGCACACATCATACTCGATATTATAACATTTACTGTGTGCAGACAATTTAGCAGCCATGTGGTACCAGATAATTTACAATCACCCCAAAGGAAGAGAAATAATAAAAACTTTAAAACTAAAAATTAAGAGCTATTCCCTTCAATACTGTGGTTGTTTATAGTAAACATGGTTATTGTTGAATTTTGCCCTTTTACAATAGAAAACATATGTAGCAGCAGGTGAAGTCAGGCATCACAGATGTTAGTCGACTCTGCTGAAGCGATGAATCTAGATTGTAGCAACGTTTCTTCAATCTTTTGGGAACTGAAGAGGGGATAAAGGCACACCCAATGAAGCTCAAACACAGGATAGCACCTTACTGTATGTAAATGTTAGACATGTACTGTACAGTGTGTCTCAGGACTACAGTGCTCAGGGAAACTTATTAGGCATCTTTTATAGGCGGCCATTTCCTCTTTCCAATCCCTCAACAGTGTAACTCTGGTTACTGCTGTCAGGAAACATTAGCCATGCTGGCTGTGTGGCTCTATGGAAATGTTGGTCGCTCCGTCACTGTGGTTCAGACTGAAATAGCTCAACAACTGTCAGATGAGTTTCTATGGAATTTTGTACAGACATTCATGTTTCCCGGAGGATGAATTCTGCTGACCTTCCTTGATCCCTGACTTTTCCTCTAACAACACCAGCAAATCAAAGTTGTCACTTGTCCTGTGTATCTCTCAGTTGGACTGGCACCAACACACATCCCTAGAAGATGGATCCTACTGACTTTAGTGATCCTATGACTCTTCCTCTTGCACCACCATTTGTGGCATTTAGCTTAAAGCACCACTACGCCTAAGTAGAGTGTCACAAAGCTACTGCCATGGCTTAGTCCTTAAAGATTTGAGTATTTGTTTCACATCATTGCCTGTTGAGGATGCTGCTGCCCACATGCAACCACAAACAACCATCTCAGAGCATTATCACCATTCTTGTTGCTTTTGTAAAACATTAACTGGTTTTCACAATAACCATAAAACCTCTTCAGCTTGAGAACAGACTCAAAGCTACATTTTAAAGCAACAAAAAGTTTGTATTCCTTCCTTTCCATAATAACTATACATCAAATAAAGGATGATGAAATCTCATTGAAAAACTCTGAACATTAACTTATTTAGCTATACACCTCTTTGCAATAAATCATTTCAGTAGCAATATTACAAAACTACCAGGATTCAATCACCTACAGTAAAAAAAGACCTAAGCAAGCTGCTGTAGCACCTTATTCAAACTGCTTCACATTCATCTTTATCTCACTTTAGCACAAAGAACTGCCTGCTTTTATGATACATTAAACCAAAAATCCCTCCCTTTTGTTTTGAGAGCTGCACTACTGTAGACTTCGCTTTCAATAGCATTTTATACACGGATGCTGTATTGTTTTTTTGCAGACGATACAGAAGATTCACAGGAGCTAAGCCACTACGGAAAGTGTCTCATTTACATGGACATGGATATGACAGTGACGCCCAGGGGTCATTGCAGCTGCTGATCAGGCTTGGCCCATCCACATCCCTCACATACATTCACACAAATGCAAGGAAAAGACAACCTCTCACACTCCATCTGGTGTTTTAAATGAGTTAAAGCTGCTTATGACTGACGGCAGAAAATATTTGCAAGATATTGTACTTGTGCATGTGCTTTTGAAAAATAAAACAAAAAGAAAGGAGAATATACCGAACTAAGTAGATGGTGTGATGGGAGCTCCTTCCTCTGAGTCAACTCATTTACAAAACTACCTCCTCCAATTTGGAACACATTCACTTTAGGTGAAACCACTCTCATGTCTGTATACCAAGCTACAGCTACCACTTAGCATAGCATAAAGACTGGGTTTGTCTAAGGCCGTGTTCATACTGAGGCTCCGTAATGGTAAAAAAAATCCACCTCTACAGCTCACTAATTAATATCCACGCAAAACTCAAACAGTAAAATCATAATTGTATGTTTTTACAATTTGGCTTTATATACAAATTAATAAAACAAATGCGATATAACATTTTAGTAAGTGATCTTTAGAGTTGTTCACAGAGCCAAAGCTGTTTCCATTTCCAGTCTTTAAGCTAAGCTAAGCTATGCAGCTGCTGACCGTATGTATACATTTACCAGAGGCTTGAGAGTGGTGTCATCTAATGCAGGAAGAAAGCATATCACCTTTTTCCCAAAATGTTAAACTATTACTTTAAGCACAAAAGCGTATAAGTCCATCAACTTGAAATCTTGGTAATTTTTCAACTGATTTCACCTTCTTTACATCAGCATACAAGGTACAGAAGGCAAAGCACCGTCCAGTTTCTGCGAATGTCCCTTGTGTCCAAGGTTTAGGCATGATAAAGGCATGGCTCAGTGCTCGATGGGGCCTGTTGCACAGGGTCATGGGGTCCAGTCGGTCAAGGGGACAAGAGGAGGGTGGGATCATAGTTATTGACTGGCAGGATGAACCCTGGGAAATCCTGGGGAGGTTTTCCCAAACCCACAGTCGGCAGTCTTTAGCACACAGAGCTAGTCGGATCTGCCTCTCCAGGGGTGTAGAAATCAGGGATAGGTAGACCAGTATGCAATGTGACCTGCCGAAAAAACACATTTACATTCAGATATAGGGATTAATAAATCATGGGAATTATGGTTATCATAGCCTATTAGGTTGTACCATTTAGCTTATCCTTATTATTTGAATTCAGTTTTCATATTCTATTTATTCTGTGTTTATTCTACTTTTATTCTATTTTAGTTTCTTAAATGGTATGGGCATTCAACATTAGGTGAGAGAGAAACAGTATTTTGATTTTTCTGAATGTCCTGCACATATAGTGACTTGACAATAAAAAATCTTTGATCTTTGATCTTTACGGCTGCAGGTGGAGCTGTTGGACTATTTCCTCAGTGAGTGAAGTGTTATGTGTTGCAGGCACTTTGCTTTCAAAAACAGGAGAAAACTGGCTGAGAGCAATAAGAAATGCAAAGTTATTAACTGCTGTTCAGCCCAGACATGTAAAAGGCCTCTACCTGTCCTACATGTTAGAGGCAAGACTCACAGACTGAGCAACAATATGATTTGTAGACAGTGTGTGTTTTCTTGTGGCTGTTTTGTGTTTTGCATTTCTTTGTAGCCATTTTGTATGCTGTTTAACTCATTTTGCATACCTTTGTAGTCATTTTGCAGCTATTTTTTTTACTTGTTTTTGTCTTTTTTGCATCTCTTTGTAGTTGTTTTGTGTATCTTTTTGTCATTTGACATACTTTTATAGTAATTTGCAGTTTTTTCTGTCTCTTTTTACTTCTTACTATGTAGGTCTATGGAAACCTAGAGTAGGAGAACTAGAGATTTTGGACATATATATTATAAATGGATGGTATATGGAACAAAGAAATAAAACAGATTTCATGCCTGCCCCAATTATTGTGAGGTATGTTTGAATTATGTTTAGCATATCCAAATGTTTTTTGCAGATTCTTTCAATTCATGCACTAAAGTAGTTTAAATTCGATGTGTAGATCCCCACTTCATATAAACAGTATCAGTCTGTACCTGGACATTTCGGTTGAGGCTGATAGCCGGGTAATAAACGCCCTCCAACCCTTCGAACGCCACTGGACCCTGCTGCTCATCATTGAGGAGGAAGATGAGGATCCCACGCGTGAAGTCAAGCAGCACTCCGATTGTAGATCCTTTACTGATGCCACCATCCGTCCTGCGAAGTCACACAGAGAGAAATTAAGTGGTGCTAAATGACAAGTATTGACATTAAAAAATGCTCTTCTTAGTAAATGTCACCAAGGTTTGTGGAACATATTATTTGTAGAAGTCTCTTATCAATTCCTTCTCTTACCTGTTGGTGTGTGAGTTGTTGTGCATGAACCAGGAGCGGTTGTTGTCCACATACATGGCCCAGGCCTTGTCATCCTTTCCCAGCATCACATCCTTTAGGACATCACCCCGAGCGATCCCAAAGGCCGGGTCTGGGTGGTTGTCATATCGATCGACGGTCATCTCCCAATAATGAACGCCACGGGAGAAAGCAGAATTACCCATGACCACCCTGTCATCATAGCTGTTGCATGTCACCGTCAGGTTGTCGTTGGAAAGGATGATGTCTGGGTGAGCGGAGGCCGGATCAAAGGTGAACCAAGCAACTGTGCAGAAGAATTGCACACAGTGTTGTTTAATATAAATAATATGAGTGACTACAAGATGTAAACATGTTGGATCTATGAAGGTGAGATTATTCTATAGGTTGGAGGTCAGATGAGGTGAAGTTACACTGTAAAATTAAGTTAAACATTTATATGATGGAAGAAGAAGCTTTGCTATCACTCTAATGATTAAGTCTTAGCATTGTATGATACTATATAACTTAATTCTAATAACCTTAATAATATCTCACCTGTGTCAGACAGTCTGCAAATAATAACTGGCATTTGATCTCACCTGTTTGTCACTTAAAATTGCCAGGCCGCCAAAAACACAGCTCCAAATGAATAATAATGTTAATCTAAAGTCATAGTGTGTCAATATTGCATTGGCCTCAAGCGGCCAAACAATTCACTACTCTACTGCTGTAAGAACCACAAACAAATTTCCATTCAAACCCCTTAATCTGCTTTGATGGTGCAGATCTCAAAATCTCAGCCAGTAAAACCAAAACTATTTGCATAGCTTGATTTCCTCTAGGGGCTAGTTGGTTGTGGTAATTTAAGTGACCTGTTCCTTTAACTTTCTGTGATATGTTGCAGCACATTACAGTCCAAACAGGCTCGATCAAATGCTAACAATAATCTTGCAAACTGCTCGACTCAGGATGGAAAAATGCTCCATAGCTCCACAGCTCCACAGAGATACGTTGAAGTTTAACAGATGAGCTTTTTGTGCTTTATATTGGCTCCACCGAACTTAAAGTACATGTCCACAGCTTTCACTGGTGTCACTATGTGCAGTAAAGTTTCATTAAAAAGCTTTATTTCCCAGAGGAAATAAAACAAAGACATTTATTAGAAGTCTGTGTTGAACATTTAATAAGTGCAGCCAACAAAGCAGCAAACCGCCCACCTGCTGGTTTGAGAGTGAAAAATGCACTGATGAAACAGGCAATGGCCAGGAAGGGATTAGAGAGGAAACAGTCAGCAATGTAAGCCATCCATACCTGTGCCTATAGACTGAATATCACATGGAGGGAGTCCAGCTGAAATGTGGAATGAAAGGGGGAGGAAAAAGAGGGGGAAAGGAGAAAGAAAAAGAGAGGAGTGGAGCGAAGCGTTGAAGCGGACAGTGTAGGGGGGTGGGGAGGGGCGGTGGAGAGGGCAAAACGCAGGTTTGATCAGGGAAGCTGGTTCAACTCAGCGGCCAAAAGACCAGGGAGGAAATCCCCACAACAAAACCAAAGCGCCCCTAGACACAAACCAGCGTAGAGTTGAAAGGAACAAGCATGAAAACAAAAAGAAAGACTTTTGATTTGCTTCTTTCCAAAGGGGAAATAAAACAGACAAAATCAAAGCACAGACCAGTTTGGCTGAAAGATGTTAGATCTCTGAAAAACATCTGAATGGTTAGATCACTTTGTAAAGAGCCCAGCAGCTGCTGAGTGCACTCTCTCTCTCTCAGACTGGGAGGCTGTCTGGGCCTTTCAGGTCCACTGAAATGACAAGCTTCCCCGTCAGAGCAGCATTAAACTAATGAGAAAGCAAGCACATGGGTGGATTACACACAGACCAGCTACTGCTACTGGATGTACTTGCTTTAAAAGCTCAAACACACTCAAACAGAATTCACAACCTGATGCTCCGGATGGGTAAAATCTTGTAATGAATATTTTCATAAATGTGAGTCAAACTTTTTGGGCAGAGGAACGCCAAAGACAACTGTGTTTTCAATTCACATTCAGTAACTGTGAACTCAGAAATAAAAATTCATATGTGACTCCAGCTGGGAAACAAAGGGACTTGGAAAGTAGTTGACATTTACTTACTAAAACAGGGAGTGATATTGACTGACTAATGATTTCAGTGTTGGCAGTTGCTCAAATTTTGTTGATCTTAAATTTTTTTGATAGTACACTTTGTGCTTTTGTTTGCAGCCAACTAGGGATTCACAGCTTCGGTCCGGGCTGAAACATCTGAGCCACTATTGGATGAATTGTCACTAAATTTGGAACAGATGTTGAATCACCAGACTTCCCTGTAGCATCACCATGAGGTTGTGGTTTTGAGTTAATAACTCTGGTGATTAGGCTTTTATTGAGCACTACCAACAGGTGAAGGTTTTCATATTTTTAAGAAAAACTACTGGCATCCTCAGTCTCAGTTGTGTTAGCTAATGTTAGCATGCTAGCCTTCCAGAGCCACTGCAGAGCCTTAGTCTTGTTGTTTTGCCTTGTCTGTCTCTTTTCTTTCCTCCTTTTTGTAAAGCACTACTGTTTTAAAGAGTGCTATACAGTACATGAACAGTTTTCTGGCTTGTTTGAGAACACATTGTGACTCCAGCTTAGTACTGCAAATAGAGACACTGGATAAAATTTATTTTATTGTCAACACAGACTTTAGTCTTGACTCTTTCCATTTTTTTTAAAGTTTGTAGTCATGGCCACTTTAGCCCAGTACAGACTTGAATAAAAATCAGAGGAACTGATTATGAATTCAAATTATAAGAGTGTGTTTTCCTTAAAGATATATAGTCATGTATTTAGGAGGAGGAGATGAAGCTTAACATACTCTCAGACGTCTGCATGATTAGCGTCTTGCTGTACTGGCCCACACCGCTGGCATTATATGCCTTCACTCTGGACTTGTATGTGCTGTTGAAGTGAAGCCCGTCCACTGTGCAGATGGTCTCAGTCCCCACGTACACTTCCTGTAAAGACACGGTGCTTCTTGTTAAACTGGCAGATAGATTGTGTGCGTAATTATGACACCAGACAGACACAGACAGAGTCCTGGTTTTCTAATGCAGCCAGCTCTGCTTCAGAAGGAGTGTCCCATTTGGAATTGGTGGTAAGTATAATAAGGTAGAGCATGGGTTTGTACAGTACAACGGAGCGTGGGTGAGGCAGCCCACACTGGAGTATAAATAGACATTGGGATGCAACTTGCCAGGCTCAGCATGGTGCTGCGTTGGCAAGCATCAATGAGTCAGAGAGTAGAAGAGGAAGAGAAAACTTCCCTCGCAACAAGGAAAATAGCTGTTTCACAAAGTGTTGCATGAAGGCCAGGCATGATTATCCATTAATTATCTGTACTGCTTAGCCTGTAAACAGTCACGAGAGGGCTGGAGCCAATCCCAGCTGGTCAGGCTGTCACAGGTGTGACATACTACAGTCACAGTCACATCTATGGGCTGTCAACATCTGACTGTGGGTGGAAGCTGGAGATAATCATACAAGCATAGGGAGAATAGAAAAGCCTGGGTTGGGGATTAAACCCAGAACCTTCTTGCTGTGAGGCGACAGCACTAACCACTGCACAACCAGGCCACTCAGGCAACATCAGAGGCAGCTCAAAGTCAGCAGTGGTCAAGCACAGGGCACAGACTGTTTGGTTCATACAGTTTAGGCGTAGCAGCATAAAAGTGCAAAGGGACTGTGTGAAATGGAAAATAGATGGTAGAGTTTGGTGGTTAATAAATGTGTCAGCCAATGACAACACAGGTCTCATACCTCTGAAACCAACTATGACAGCTCAACATATCAATAATTGGCCTGTCAAAAAAATCATATTGTTGTCTGGGTGTTGCAGAGCAGAGTCAATACACAACACCTTTCATCCATCCATTAGCTATACCGCTTATGAACAGGGTTGTGAGGGGGCTGGAGCCAATCCCAGCTGACATTGGGCGAAAGGTAGGGTCCACCCTGGACAGGTCGCCAGTCTGTCACAGAGCTGACATGTAGACAAACAACCACCCACACTGACTCCTACAGGCAATTTAGAGTCACCAATCAACCTAAGCTGCATGTCTTTGGACTGTGGGAGGAAGCCGGAGCACCCGGAGAAAACCCATCCCACATCTTTTTATGCAACTTCAAACTATTTGGACTTTGTTCTTATATTCTGAGTTACTTTCCAGTACTGTTGCTCCTGTGCTTTGAGTGAAAATAGGAATAGAAGAATAGAAGTTTATCTCTTTGTTTCCTTGCATGGAAAGCTGCATCACAAAACTAAGTCAGCATATAAACAAATCAACTGTGTGCAGACTATATAGTCTCAGCCTCGGGTGTTTGACAGATTAAAGAGTCAAAATGCTATTTTCCTAAAAAAAAAAAACAGAACTCATTTGTTCCTCACTCAGTGAGCACAGAAGCTTATAATAAAATGGTTTTTGGTTGAGAGCTAAATCACAAAGTCTAACATTACTTTAAGAAGCTGCACAGTTCTGATGAGACTATCATGTACTGTACGGACGGAGCAAGGTGCTCTTTACCAAAGTAGAGGTCAGACATTGATATCCTCTGCCATTGTACTGAGGGAATTGTTCATGAGGTAGTAGTTGCCTTTCTAACAAAGCAGGTATTTCAATGTATAGAAAGCTGGGGAGGGTCTTATGAAGATGGATTACACAGTGAACCTTTGAGGGTATGACAACTGCTTTGATGCCAGATCACGCTCTCTCCAGGATCATCCCAGCCAACAGCTGCATTACAGACCCTGTTTCATGATGGTGTGTCATTCTATCCCCCCGCTAAAGTGCATCACATGACCTACTCATGTCACTCAGAGCTGAGGCCGCCACACATAGACTCAAGAGGTTTCAGCGACAAAGTGTTGCTTTCACATTCCCTTGGCTGAACTGGTGTCCTGCATGGCACCAAATGAACAAGTCTTTGTTAAGGTGGGGGGTGGGGTAGTCTTGTAAAGGTGAATTATTACTCTAACTGGTCTTGTTTTTCACTTTCTTTCTCGTAGCCTAAATGTAAATCTAACAACAGTTCCCACTTAAAGCTTTTACGAGTATAAGTAATGTTGACATTTATTAAACAAGCAGGGACAAAAGAGTACCTGCAGATGGAAACCTACTCTGAACGGGCCCCCGTTTCCATCGTCCAGCTCTAGGATGTATCCGTCCACGGTGATGGTGGAGAGTGGTGGCTGTTTCCATGACAACGTGGCGCTGTTGTTCTGAGTGCAGCATTCCTCCAGCTGGAGCATCGGAGCAGCTGGAACTGAGGAGGGGAAAAACCAGGCCAGATTACAGCCCACTGAAAAGACGCCCACATGCACACGCTCCTCTCAACTAGATCCGAATATGCAGTGCACGAGGACCTGGTCGGTTTATAAATTTCACCATGGATTCACAATCAAAGGTTTTCAACGTATGAATGTCAACAAAGTATCTCTGTGGTATCATACCAATAAATATACAGACAAGTGACAAATTAAGAAACCCTGACATAAAGCGTCTCAGTGAGGTGCTGGGCCACCGTGTGCCACCAGAACAGCTTCAGTGCACCTGGGCTTTGACTCTGTAAGTCTCTGAACTGGACTGGAAGGATGAACACCATTCTTCCAAAAGATATTCCCTGTTGGTGTTTTGATGATGGCGGTGGAGATGCTGTAACACGTCGCTCCAGCATCTCCCATAGGTGTTCATCTGGGTTGGCACCTGGTGACTATGAAGGCCACAGCTCATGATTCATGATCCCTTTGTACCCTATGGATGGGGGCACATCATCTTGGAAGACACCAGTCATTTATTCAGGTTTTTCCTTTCACTTGTCATCTGTCTGTGTGCATAGCAAGTACTACATACTCAAAACAAACACATTTCTATGCACACATCCTTAAGAACAACAGGTTCTCACACTAGACTATTCTAGGTCTTATACAAAAGCAAGTGATTGTGACTGTGAGCTGAAGGGACACTCCTCCAAAGAAAAGAAGAGTTTTTTCTTTTACAAAGACACTACATAAAGAAACATCACTGTAAAATTAGGTTTGACAGATTCAGTGGGCATAATTTCTAAATCAGTGGTTTAGTACAGAAAACATGGCAGGAATGTATTAGGTCAGTCTGACTTCAAGCTGATAGTGATATACTGTCCTGTTCAAAAAACAATTCATAAGAGCAGACATGAGCTCTCGAGGGGTTTATACCCGCCTCTCCTGTGATGCCTGCCCTCCTTCCTCTGGCCCTCTCTTTTGTAAATCCTTGCTATCTCCTCTCTGTTACCTTTCATCTGGACAAAGTCCAGCTGGTGGATTGTCTGTAGGAGAGGTCCGCTGTCCAGAGTGAGGTCAAAGTCGCTGGTCATTCTTGGGGTGAGCGTCCCCTTCCCCCACTGGCTCTCTGTCATGTGGACCCTCCGGATCAAAGCGTCAGAAATCTGAGAGCAGCATAGGACAAACTGATCTGTTAACATATCACAGCTGTGTCTCTTTAGCTACAATTTAGATCATCCTTAACTTAAACAGGACATCAGTTTTAGACATTCATTAACTACAATTACTGTATGTGATTACTGGGAGTTAAAAAAAAACTTATCTGCTAATGTATTTTACCTGAAGGAAACCACTGGGGTCATTCTCCTTGATCACCTCCAGACAGTACTCCATCAGCCCCGTGGTTTGACGTAATTTCACCGTACAGTGGGAGATCTGATCCCGAACAACCTGGAACAGAGATTAAAAAAAGAAATTTAAGTTAAAAGAGGACAAAAAGGCAGTTGATGGATGCAGAGGAGCTGAGTGAGATGACCAGGAGGAATAACAATAACGAGATTAGCAGCAGGATTGGCAAAGTGAGCGATCAAATAATTTTCCCTCTTGAGACTCAGACGCAGATCGAGGGAGAAAGAGCAGCCTGAAGGGACAACCGGGCTTGTTATTGACGTTAGCGGAAGAAAAGTGACATTTTGTTTTCACAAGCAGTTTTCACAGTTGCGAGCATGATCTCAGAGACAAGGATGAGACAAAGTTGCTCTGAGATGATTTTTTTCTGGCTTCCTAAGATGCAGCTAAAACTGACAGGAGGGTCTAGGACATGTAGAAGTTAATGTTCTTTATCCAGCTGAAAATCAGTCTGTTACACACTGATTATTCATCATACAGTATGTCCTTCCGTAACATGATCCGAATACAGGGAAACAGGTTATAGATAAAATAAATCTTCACCGTTGCATATGTGTAAGACATTCAGTTGATTTGAGTGGATATTTAACTCGGGAGATTCCCTCTATCGCTGACATGTCCACAGAGCCTCCCTGCAACTGTGAGAAACAAACGGAGGTGCTGGGCCGGTGGTTGCTAGGTAACAGAAACTGCACTGTTGCTATCTGAGGGGCTCCAAGTCTGAATGGAGAGGAAAATCCTTTCTGCAGCCACTCAGAGACTGACACACAGATACTGATGATACTGATGACTGCAGTCAGAAAGCATCAGGACTGCACAGGCGCTATGTGATTATAGCGGAGGGTATTCTAGAGAAATATTCAAGTATTATATTTGCAGTGATGATAAAAGCCATTACAAAAAAAGGAATGCGGTGCACAGAACGTGGCATTAAGGCTGTCTTCCCTACAGCGGTCCTCTTGCTGGGACCAGACCGCCGAGCGTGGCACATTTGTCATCACCAAAGTTGACAGGATTGCATTGTTGTGCAAATTTAGTAAGCTGCAGTTCAGAGTTTTTAGAACAGCTTCAACAGCTCATTGCTTTTCACTCTAAGTATTCTCAGAAGAGTCAGACTTTTATCTCAGAATCTTTTATTTATTTATTTATTTTACACAGCATTAAAATTTACCGCCTTTCAAAAATTCTCCCAAAGGTTGCTCATTTTGGGCTTAGAGTTGTGGGGCTATTACTGGTTGAATTTGGGTATTTTTAAAAAAAGTAAATTATGAACAATTGCCTTGAGATTCAGGGTTAAGACATATACACAGAACGCTTTAAGCATTGCACCGTTTTAGGACTGTAATCTAGTCAAAGCATGAAAGAAGGTATTCTTTTCTCTTAATGGCATCCTGTTACATTTTCAGGAAACTCAATAGAGAAACTGTTAAAACCAAAAAAAAAAAGTTAAATATCTGACAAATCAAGGAACTTTATTACATTTCTTCTTTTTTTAAAGTTGATTTTACCTGGTCAAAAACCCAATTTAGATTACAAGCCTCTTTTTCAAGGAGGGCCTGGCCAAGATAACGGAACTTACATAAAACAGCTAAAAACATAACAGTCTCAAACAAATTCCTGCAAAAAGCCGCTAAATTTGACACTGCCATAAAGCAGCTGCTTAGTGATTAGCAGCTTTACCTGCAATAAATACAAAGAGAGTCTAGATACCTGTACGTAGATAAATGATTTAGCAGAATCTCTACAGGTTGACTAGTGCTTATTATTTCATGGGATACATCATCTTATCAACTATGGAAATATTCCAGTTAGAACTGCTTTCTTCACAAGCTGCCATTCAACTAGTGTATGCAAATAAATACAGGTGCAGTGGTTAGCACTGTCGCCTCACAGCCAGAAGGTTCCAGGTCCGATTCCCGGCTGACCCGGTGCCTTTCTGTGTGGAGTTTGCATGTTCTGCCTGCGTGGGTTCTCTCTGGGTACTCCAGCTTCCTCCCACAGTCCAAAGACATGTAGCTTTTTGTCACTTGACCCATCACTAAAGACTAAAAGTCAGGATATGTCGGTGTTCGCTGCTTTGATTTTGATGATTCTTTTTCAACTTCCTGCTAGTGATGACCCCAACTGGCCACAAGAATCAGACTTTACATGCTCCCCATAGTGTTTCCCCCTGGTCACGTGCACTCCCACTTACACCCCCCTGAGGTTCTTCTTTCTCAACAACTGGAGACTCATCGTCTCCACTGCTTCAGTTTTGTACTCATGTGCTCTTCTTTGCTGCAAACACCAGGAGAGGTCAACTTAAATGAACCAAACAAAAAAAATGCAGTTTCTCATCCAAAGTTCAAACCAAAGCAAACTAAATGTAGGTCTGACTCTACTCGAATAGGAGTAAATATTAACCACAGACAGAATATTTTCAACTAAATTAATATTTACAAAGATGCAGCTAGTCATATTCTAATTATTATCCTCTTTTAGTGCTGTAATCAGTCTGTGTTTAACCTCTCTTCGCATAAAGTGAGAACTGATTTCACTGATTTGGCCTATATTTCTCTGGCTGAGGGCCAAACCATCCCTGCTGTGTCAAGCCTGGAACATCCACACCCCTGCAGAGGGCTGGCAGGGCTCCAACAAGAGTTTCTCACTGCTGTCACTGCCTGTTAAACAAGACTCACTGTCCCTCGTCTGTACGCAGCTGGAATCATAGTCTCTTAATTCACACAGTACAATACATAAGGGGGACCTGACTTGCAGAGAAATGCCAGCATGTTTCATCATACTTTCTCTTTTCTTTATCTTCCTCCCAGATTCAAGACACTTCTGCTCACTGAGCGGCTTCTCTCAGCATTCCAGTCATCTTGCCTAAAATCTGCTTCAGATCAGCGCTGGCCACCGGCAATACCACTCTGTCAGATGATCAGCAGGTAAATCAGGACAGGGAAGATTCACTCATCTGAATTTAACTAAGAACAGCAGCTCGTAGAATAAAACTATCCCCAACAGAGGCAAACAGGATAAAATTATACTCAAGAGTACTGGAACATACAGGAACACAGGTCCTTATAGTCACCATTTAAGGTCAGCAGAACAGGTTTTCATTCATTTCTTCATCTCAGGACCCAAATAAGAAACGTATAATGGTTCCACAGGACACAGGCTCATTGTTATGCAAGCTGTGCAATTCCAGTCTCGACATCCAAAATAAATGCAAATCATGATAAACAGTAAAACAGAGAAAAAGTTACAAGACAACAGGAGGTAGAGTACTTGTCCCCTAACTGAAAGGTCGGTGGTTTGATTCCCGTTCTACCCAGTACACATGTCAAAGTGTCCTTGGGCAAGACACTGAACCCTAAGGTGCTCCCGATGGCCAGGTCAGTGCTTTGCGGGGACAATGCTGCCATCGATGTGTGTGTGTGTGTGTGTGAGTTGGCGCTGCAGATGGCTGCCTCAGTTCTGTATCAGAGACAAATTCCTTGTGCGTGTGTAACATACTTGGTCAATAAAAGTGATTATTATCATTACCACAATGCTGCTGTCCTGGCGGAGCTGTACCCTGGTGCTGACCTGATTTCGTTCTCAATCTAGTGCCACTGGCTTGGTGCTGATCACATGTAAACCCCCAGAACAGTCATTATATACATTCACTAAACATTTTTTCAGATGGTGTTTGGTGGCTGGCTCCAGCCCATGAAGCAGCAGCACACCACTGTCTGCTCAGCGTTCTGCCTCTGCCGTCTCTAAACAAACAGGTCAGTCGTCATGATGTGCAGATAAACTGAAGCTGACTCATGTTATGAAGGAGCACTTCTCACCTCCACGCCTACCGGTAACCATGGCAACACAGCTTCGGCATCAGCATCAAAGACCAGAGAAAAGCAGCAGGAAGCCAAGTCAGCTGCCGCAGTTTAAATGAATGTTTTCTGTGCTTTTATGCTTGATTCATCAGGAATAATCAGGGCATTTCATTAATTTCTTAAATGGACACATATAAAACACATAGCTGGCATTTTGTTTTATGCACCAATGTGCTTTTCATATGCAAATAAATCCAATCTGATGTGATCACCCTAACACTGAGAAGCTACACAAAGAATTACATTATCGTCAGGAATGCTCCGGGACACAGATATGTCTGGTCCATTATGAGGATGACCTCTGCCACTGAGTCACATGCTAATGAAGCAGCAAGCATCCCACATCAATTAGATGCACTCCAGAAAACAAACATTTCTCCTTTTCCTCCCTTGTTTTACTCCAGCTGATGCCTACTAAAAGTGAGCTAAATAGGACATAATAATATGAGATATAAATGCACGCTTCTTGCATCAGACTCTAGTCTAAACTCTAGTGATAGACATGTCCCTGAGTAGTGAGCAGCACAGATTCACAGGAGAGATCAACACTAAAAATACAAACCGAATATTCGATCTGTCATAAAGAAATGTGTCTTTCTTGCATTAAGATTCAGCAAACAACACATTGAGGTACAGATGTGTTGGCTTACACGAAGGATCAGTCATTAATAGATTTTGCATTTCAAGTGCGCACAGCGCCTTCAAGAACCAGGGCCCGCAGCTTTGTAATGCTGCTGTTCCAGTCCAACCTGAACTACGTACACACAACAAAAGTAGCAAAGTTACAGCTGTAAACATGTTGTGTGCTCATCTACAGGCGAAAAACTAATGGCTGCTGTAATCCTGACACTTGTGCCACCTGCACACTAGTGTCACCATCTGTCTTTTTTTTCTCAAGCACTGTCCTGGTTATGTTGAGAGGGATAAACGGTGGCCTTAACCTGATTTAGTTTGATGAGAGGGTTAATTCCTCTCTACAGTAATTACTCCATGAAGCTGCATGTCAGCGCCCTTTGGTTAATAAGTGTTTTTGGAGAAAAGTTGGTTACAAACGCCTCACAAGACAAAATAAAACTCCTCAAGAATAAAAAAAAAAACACATCAAAAAAGAGTTGTAACACTTATTGCTTGCAGATGTTGTAAAGTGCAGCAGCTGCTGCTGTTCTCTGGGGCAGGTCGACAGGTATAGAACTAATAATGATCACACAGAGAATTGTCTGCATGTAAATGAGGGAGCTTCTGAGGGTTTTATAACTTCACACCTATATATTTCATTTATGGAGAAGGGAAAACAAAATGCATATGACGTACAGTATGTAAGTGTATGTGTGTGTGTGTGTACATCAGTTTATGAGCACGTGTTATCATGCACAGGCTGCTTCTCAAACCACCTACACGTGTGAAACCTCGATTCTACAGAGCGTCCAAGCGTGAAATTGGATGCTGTACAGCACAAATGTATCTCTCGCTCCTCCTCCTCTCCTGTCAGCTCCATGTCCTCCATCCTATGCGCTGCAGATGGTTCATGGTTCTGTGCCTCTGAGATAACTGGAACTGAGCTTCAATCCGTATGTATCTCTATTAAAACTCTGTGATTAGCTACCAAATAACAGAAAATTGCTTTGGCTGATAAATCTTAAACTCGACGCATTAAAGAGATACAGCAATTATACCAACTGCTTTTAATGTATGTCACTTCTATTTAGATCGTTCCCATTCATGTCACTACAGTCAGAATGAAATTCAGCAGGTAGATTTGGCTCATATGTCACAATCACTGCTTTAATTTTTGTCAAACCTATTTTACTAGGTTGCGTAGCTGCCGACAGGACAGTTTTAAAACCTCTTTATTTTTGCATCCTGCTGTCAAACATTCCATGTAAAGAGAGACCAAATTCATGTTATTATTTTGCTTATTCTTTGCCTTTTTGGTTTGAGTCTGATATCCATTGCACGCTTTCAGATTGTAAGTGTAAGTGATCCACGGGCGTGTCTGGTCACGCCCACTCACCTTCAGCTTGTGTTCGTGCTCATTGTTTACTCGAGCCAGCAGCTGGGCCTTCCGTCGGTTCAGGGCGTCGATGAGGGCGTCACACTGCGCCACCAAACAGGCCTCGAACTCCACTCCGTTCTCCTGCAGGGCAAACACACACACACACTGGAAAATCAGAAGACTTGCAGAGACTAAACCATCTCCAAGACAAAAAAGTACATAGGGACTTTCAGTTGATGCTGAGCAACAAAAATATACAGAATACAAAAGCGGAATAGACAATAATGAGTGATGTGGAATCAAATAGGTAATTGTGGACACTTATTTAATAGCAGCATTAACACTAAGATACACAAATTATAATCTTTATACTGTCCTCTAGCTGCATCATCAGACAAGGTGGGTGGGTAAAAACATCCAGAAGCATCCGCACCATGGGGTGAGTATTATCTGTACAAGCATTCCTGTTCATTTTCACACATCCCAGACGTCTGCTCCTCTGCCTCCTCACTCTTCACCTCCTCTCTTCTAACGTACCGTCAGCGTTTCCAACGCTTATGTCTCATGGTCTGCTTGGAGTGTCATCTCACTGTGTGACCATCATCAGCGAGGGCATTTAATCCCACCTTCCTCCACCAATCACCCTCTTACGTTAATCAACTCTGTCTCCACACACTGCAGAAGGTTATCTGAATCTGTGATTCTGCATAATGTGAATGAAGGGATGTGTTGATTGTGTCACTGAGTGACCTCCTGTGGTGGACCGTATGGGATCGGTGGGGATAAGAGCTTGGAAACCAAATGCAAACAGATCTGTGGGATATTACTAGGATTCAAGCATTTTATGCAGTTTGTGTCTGGCTGCAATCAGGAGAAACAGCAGTTTTTATGCATGTCTGCTTGTTTGCATGTGTGTGTAAAAGTACCTGGATGTGCTGTACCATGTTTCTCAGCTGGACCAGGAACTCCTTGGCTTCAGTGGCACGGTCTGACAAACCATTGAGGGCCTGGGACAGCTGACCCTGTGGAGAGCACAGACAGGCAGCACTGCAGTCACATCCACGTGTACCAGATTCAAAAAACAATAAATCAAACACACTCAGCTCTGTTATATGTACATAGATGCTGAATCCTTGTAACAGTGAATATAAAAGTCCAGTTAAATGTACTCATGCATAAATGTTTCCCAAAAGTGCAAACTGGCTGCGATGTTACAGTCGGCTAAATGTCATAAATGCAGTGATAGCACTGATATTGATTAACATACACCAAAGATCAACAAAAGCATGCTGTAGTAATGCTGAGATTGTTACTCCTCTCTATTTAACAACACATCAGATGAGTGAATACATCACATCTACATTATTCTTTCCCCAAACAACATAACTTCAAAACTGTTTTTGGCACATCTAACGTTGACAGGAGGGACACCTCAGCATGAGACTCCATAAAGCTTTTTGATTCCTTTTAGTCAGTTTGATTCAATGTGAACTAACTTAAATCAGTTTTAGGTTTTGGATGAACTCAAACATGTACAGTGGTCAATTTGAAAACAAAGCAGCTTTATAGCTGCTGAGAAACTGACATTTCATGTGTCAAGGTTTTTTGCACGGTCGGCCTTTTTCTCACACACACACTGGCATTTCCAGCTAAAGCTAAGAAGACTTGTATAATAAAGCACTTGACTGTTGCACAGTTTTATTATTGGATTATAGCCCCAGGGTATGGAGCTGAGCACATGTGACGGAAAATGCCATTACTGTGAATATGTACGATGACACACAAAGGGAAAAAGAGACAGGGTGTTCATGTATGTGAAGCAGGGTTGTGTGAACAAGGAAGTGAGAGGACGTGTCCCGACCCTGTGGGAACCTCGCTCGGATGACTGATTAACCATCAACTTGGGGAGCATATCATCTTCTGGGAGGAAAGGATACTGTTGCGGGCCTCATCTAACTAGAGAACTCGCTTTGACTCCGGAAGACAGCGATGAAACCAGGATATAGCTGATACAGTAGAAAACGCTGTGAAAACAGTCCATCATACACAGTCCGCTCATCTGTGTCAACCCAGCTACTGGCATCTGACGTTAGCCGGTCAGATGGGAGCCTGTCTGCTGGGACTGTCAGCTGACCTCTGACCACGGAATTTGGGAAACCATGACAGCTGCTATCAATATGAGTCCACTGCACCAAGGGGCTGTCTGAGCCGGTAACAGCTGAGCAAAGACTGAAATGTAAACTTTGTAGGACTTAAGGAAACTTCCTCTTTGTTAACTTGGGAATCACACTTCAGCTTCTCAAGGGACGTGCATGAATGAAAAGACATACAGCGCATGTTTTCTCCCATGTTACACTACAGCATTTCAGAACCTTTAAGATTTCCAAGGGGCGTCAAAGTAAAAGCATCATGTAACATTAGGCTGGAGAAGAGGATGATGGAATATTTGGAAAGAGCTTCAGATTGATTGCCGAGGTGGTGGTGGTGGGGTGGTGGGGTTCAGGATGCCCCTGCTCTTTGGGAACACTAATCATCTCAGTAATTAAGCCAAGTGGGAAGAATGTGCATGGCTTGAATAATTCACCAGTGGCTCCAGTTAGCCAATCTGTCACAGAAAAGTGTTGATGTCAGAGTTATCGGAGGCAATTGGGATTACAGCTCACACTAGGAAGTGGAAGGTGTAATGTCACTGCTAAGCTCTTAAAGCTGCACCAGAGTAAAACGTCACCTCTTTAAGCTAATTAAAAATACACTAAATATGTCTTCACTTCTACAGCAAAGACAAACTTTTGTGTTTTCTACAGTCAAAAAACTGCATTCTCTTTTGAAGAACATTTTAAATGCCCTGAGCTTCAGGGTTAAGTACTGTCTCTTCTTTAAACAATCTCTTTAGGCTCATTTAAAGGCGTTTGGTTACACACTGTAAAGAGACATGAGATGAGGGTAAAGTCAACCTCTGGTGAAAGAAAACACCAAACAAACATAAAAACACATTTACACTAAAGCCCTACGATGAAACAAGTGAAATGAATATAAATTTGCACAGTTTGATTACTGGTTGTGTTCCTCCCTACATAATCACTAACTACAGACTCTAACATGAAAGCGTACAGTTGTTTACACACACACACACACACACACACACAGCCACTGCCCTCAGAGAATACATTGTGAAATATTAAGTAGTCAACTTGACACTTACTGCCTTGGGAGCCTTTTTGGTGTTAAACATTAAGTTGTTACATGTTCCAAGAAGCTGGAAGAGTTAATATTCAGACAGACTGTGATACTCCTCTGTTTTTAACAAGATCCCATATGAAACCATCTCAAGTAGAAACCAACTGGCTGGTGCATTAGGCATCTGTCACCATCAATAATGCACAAGAAGATAAACAGAAAAAGTGAAGGAACACTGATAATAATAATAATAATAATAATAATAATAATGAGGACTTTTGAAAGTTGCCACAGTTTCTTCATGCGATGGACACCTGGGACAGCAGAGCAGGAAATGGAGCAGGAGTGATCTATTCTTGTCAGTGCTGGATCTGGCGAGGGTATGGTCTCATGTAAGCTGCCTACCTGCTGGTCTGGTTTGATTGTGTCAGACAGATAACACCTGATCACTGACATAGACAGACTGAAATAAAGTGTTAGCGCTGTGTAAGAGAAAGACGAACAGGGGCCAAATCAAATCAGTCAGGTATCCTTTGTTCTTTCACAGCTGATGGTGGGTATGCAGCATCTACTTTATGAAAAGAAGTAAAGTTTCTGCTGATTTAATTTCATCACATCAACTTCTGCAATCGTCATCCTCTATCTGAACCTTTTCTATGCAGCTTCTTCCAGAATTTCTCTACATTTTTGGTCTCAGAGTAATAATGAGATGCAGATGATCGGCTGATTTTCCACCTCTACTTCTACACCTGGTGCAAGCTGGGATATTCAGCCTGGGCGTTCCCAACCCAGAAAATGTGCCAAAATAAAAATACCTTTGATGTATAAACCGACCGAGCATGAAACAGGGTTGAATGTCTTGTCAAACTTGACTTTTCTCACCAGTGATGTGACGACCAGTGTCACCACCATGTCTCTTTCTTGCTCAGTCTTTGTCTAGCTCAGTCTCGTTTTCCTTCTTTTTATCACCCTCTTTCATCAACATTTACAATGCTAATCTCTTTACAGTACAGCTGGAGGGGTAAATATCTCCATCTGTAATGGAGCGGCATCAACCAAAGCGTCTCCCAGAGATTCGCACCCCTGTGAAATTTCATTCTCCACAGGCCTCAATCCCGCCTTTGTCCTGCATCTCACCCCCATATCAGTGAATCACAGTCTACTATCATGGAGCAACCATGTCTTTGAATCATTTATGGGAGAGGGCGACATACTGTATTTAGATATTCAGTCCACAGTATCGCCACAGGCTGCTGGGCCTTCACTGATCTGTCATGATGTTTTCACAATAGGATAAAACAGAATTCCTCAAATTACCGACCAGGTTTAGTCACAACACAACTGCACACTTTCTAATAAATAAACTCTATGTATCCGTCCCATATACTGAAAATAGCAATCATGTGACCTGAAGTTCGACCAGCCAGTGAGCCCACAGCCTTGAATCCTAAACAGGTCGCATATCAGAGCTGAACCAGGACACCAAAGTAAATGTCCTCCCTGAATCCACAAAGAAACGCTTTTAACGAACATGTCAACATGAGCAAAATAATTCTCATCAGTGACTTCTAATATCTTTACTGATACATTTTCAGTAACATATAGCAGCTGTGATTTTCCTCTGTAATATTAACAGCATCTAAAATTCTTATATCTAGACTTTGGTACAGTTTCCTGCTGGTCTTTGTCTGGATGCCCTGAGTGTTGTGGAGCCACACAGCAGGAGCCACTGTGGATTCAGTGGGTCCAGGCTGACAGTCAGGCTCCTTACTATCAGCAGCCAGACGTTTAAGCAGGAGAGAAAGACAAGGATCCTGCTTGCTGCCACGGTCTGATTTTTCAGGGCCTTTCCTTTGCTCACAACAGGCTCGATAGCTCATCCAGAGACAAACAACTGCTACTACACAACATCAGCCTCGAGACTGAAACGAGACTTTTAGTATTCATCCCAGTACCTGCTCCGTCTGTCCTCATTAGCCTGCTTTTTGGGTCATCTCTTGCAGAGCATCCATCTGCGTTAACTAGGGTGTGCAGGCGCTCTGTGTATGTCAAGAGGCTTAGAATCAAACACATGGTAACATGAAACGGTGGCACGTGTGCACTAGAAGTGAAAACTTCCTTAGATCACTTTCTTATACTGCTGATGTCTTTCTTGGTGTTGTGCAGGGCTCAGTGGGTTAGAGTTAAAATCTCCTCTGCTTTCTCTCTCTTCCAGTGGTGAGAGGACAAATTACTAATTTTCTGCTACAATTTCCTGCACACCTATGCATCCTCTTGTACTTAATCTTCCATCAGATTAATTACCTTTAATTGCCACTAAACAGATTAAGGTGACAGAGCGTGACCTTGATTGCATTCAGGGTCCTGTGTAACCTCTTATGACATCCGTGAAGCAGCAAAGACCACTGACTAAGTAGAGATTAAACCCTTGACTTGGCCTCTTTACTCTTTTTAATGTGATTTACAGAGATTAACACAGACATCCTGTCACCACACAAAACCTTCTGACACAAATCTGACGAGGCAGGCGAGAGCTGGACTATGTAGCTCTTATATTTCTGCTCGTCTTCTGTGACTGAAACTGACTGGAGACATGAAACTGATTAGCATCATGGTTTAGACATGGTCCTGCAATCCAGCAGGAGGCTAGAGATCAAACATGGTGGTTTATTTTCCTGCAAAACCAGTGGAGAAGCCAAAGCAGAAATGTTTCCAGCAATGAGCTGAGCAGAGCGTTCATTTTAGTGCACCCAGACACATGTACGGTAGAAGAAGGAGACAAATGCTGAAAATCATCTGGGATGGATTCCTCTTGGAGTCCGGTATCTTAGAGACCTCCGCTGCTCTGAACAACATCAAGAGGGATTTGGTTGCCATGGCAGCAGGTGGTTCAACTCACTCTCCGTAAAGAGAGAAATGTTTCACAAAGATAGAGAGGGCACAGTTTGTCCCAACACATTATGATGATGGTACGGATTAAAAACCTTGAAAAACATCCCAGCGAGAGTAAAGAGATCTTATTCAATGACCGTTTTCAGCTCTGAAATGTAAATGCTCGAGGTGTGGATTTAAGAAACGACATTCAAGTTTCTCAGTGTTACACTTCCTGCATCAACATCAGATAAAGTGCAACATCCCAGTCACAAAAGCACAAATCAAAACAACAAACTGAGGTAAAAGCTTAATGTTTGTGCATTTTGTTGTTGTATATGGGTGAAAGCATAAATTAGAACATGTATTTGAATATTGGATGGTTTTGTTGATGACCAAAGCCCAACCTTTAGAGCTGCCCCAGCCATTATTTCTATACACACAACAGATAAATTATTGTGTGAAAGGCGCTGCTGTAGTGACAAAGCCATTAATTATCATCCAAATCTGCACGTTCCCTCAGCTGTACAGAGCATTTTAGCATCTTTTCATTCAGTTTTACAGCTACAACTTTACTGTCTTGCTTCAATCTTTCCACTCTGCTTGACCTTTTTCCAGCTGCAGCTGTTTTCAACAATAACCAGACGACACACAGACGTGGTTATTAGCTAGCTGGTGAACATATAGAGCATTTTACCAACTAAAACACTAGACATTTCACTTGTGAGTTCATAGAGTGAGTATGAGACTGAGATTCATCAGGCGTCCAGAAACACAACCTTAACACTAATGTTGCTTCATGTCTGTTGGATGTGTAAATAGAGATAAACTGATTTGGAGTCAAGTCAAAAGAAAACTGAGGAAATGTTTGCTGATTACAGCTTTTCAAATGTGTGAATTTGCTGCTTTTCTCAAGTGTATATCTCCTTTGGCTGGACAAAATAAGCAACCAGCAGATGTCACCTTGGGCAATACAAAGCTGTAATGGCAACTAGTTAACAAAACAAAACCTCACATTTCATGTAATCTCAATGTCAGTCCCAGTCAGTAATGTGCAAGAAAATCTGGGGAGTAATTGGACAAATATCAGGGCAGCACTTTGGCTACATCCTTGAGTTTCTAAACTTCAGTACATCATGCAGGAGTACAAATAAGGAATGATCATTTACTAGACTTCCTTAGTAATACTCATCAAACTTTAACTCATTTAACTGTGTATTTATAACTACAGCATATCTGCACGGTTTATAACGCAGCAGAATTTTTCTCCCTGATGAAATGTGTGAGCAACACTCCAAAGCTCTGAAAGGCGCCCATCCTCAGAGCTGCCAGCTCCGAGCTCTCAGCCATCTGTTACAACTGTGTAGGCAGCAGCTTCAGATGACAGGTCAGGATTAAGCAAGTGCCATGACAGAAACCAAGAAGAGGGTAACATGCCGGACATTGGTCTCTAAAACATACTTCTTTAGCCCCTCTTTAAATTTTTTATCCAAGAAAGATGAAGCAGGAAAAAGTCGGCAACTGTGACGGGAGTGGAAAGTTTAACCCCCTCTTATTTTTCCATCAATTTTACAACTGCCCCCTGCATTTGAGGTGACACACTGTCGCACTGTTATCTAGAGGCAATGATTGGACTGGGAGTGTGTTGAATTGCTGTTTTGAAGATATACAAGACCAATTCTGGCTGCAAATGACAAGGAGAGCTTATCAATACCTACAGCTGTGTATGTGTGGGGGTGTGTGTGTGTGGGGGGGTGCTTATATCTAAATTTCCAATGTAGTCATCATCTTCAGATTTTCCACCACCAGGAGACACCACACCACTCTCCCTGTGTCTGTGTACGAGTGAGTAGTGAAAATGTATATCTAGCTCTACATCCTCCCTCTTCACTAGAAACTGGAGTGTGGAGGTGAAGTCTGCTGGTGTAGAGGCGTAAGTATAAACTTGGCTCTGCCTTCTTAGGCGCATGCCTCCTTCCCCGCAACAACCCAGCTTCTAAAATAGCATCTCAGTCCTGGATAGGTGCTTCCCAGCTGACTCCTATTAAAGCATAGCTCCATTATCAGCCGTGCTTAATGATCTCGGGGGGGAGCTCAGGGGAGCTACTGAAGCACAGAAGGGAGTGGGACATATATAGAGTGAAGGAATTCTCTGAATGGTAAAGAGCTGAAATCATGCCAGAGTCTCTGAGCAACTTGGGTTTGCTGTGTAAAGGAGAAGAGCAGATGAAACAGGTAAACGAGACCTGCTGCTGCTGTTTCTCGTGAACAGAATTTCAAACAGAGCTACCTCCTGACAGCTGTGCGCACCAAAGACAGCGGAGTTCCCACTTTAAAGACGTGCGCATTTTTTCTCTTTGCCTCATGAAGCTGACTAAAATGGGAAGGGAATATACTGAACACTGTAAACCACTCATTTAAATCTAATGCGACAGACTGAGCATCCCCACTGCTCTGCATATTGACTAAGCAAAGTCGACAATAGAGAGGCAGACTTGTTGCTCCGCTTTGAGGATGATGAATCATGGCTACACACACACATACAGAGAAAAGACGCACTGCCATACAGCAAACAAGGATTTTGCAGGTTCATAATGTTTACGCACGTACCTTGTGCAGTTTCCACATTGCGCCCAAAGCTTTGACTTCATGTGTGCCGTGTTTGCCTTCTTCCAAACACTGATAACACACAGGCATCTTACACTGTACACAGTACATGCTTAGATTCTCTAGTTCGTGCTCTGTGCAAGTGGAGATTTTACGGGGACTGGCGCGGCGACTTATCCGCCCCTGCGCCGGGGGTACCAGGCGATGCTTGGCGAGGGGACCGCGGGGAGGATGGCACCGCAGGCGGCACTGGTCGCAGTAGAAGACGTCGCACTGCTCGCACATCACGGTGGCCTCCCTCGGACTCTTCTCGCAGAGCTGGCACTTGAGAGCGGCCGCTTTGCTCTGCTGATACCTGTCCACAACCCCCTCCAGCACCCGGTTCTTGGGGAATCCGCGGAGCCCCCGGTCATCCAGGATGAGACTACGATGACACTGCGGGCAAGTGATGCAGGAGTTGCGAGGGATCGGAGGCAAGGAGCCGGGCTGCGGTAGCAGGTGATGTTGTGGTGGAGGCTGGGGGACTGTCGGGGGGAAAACCCGCACCCCATTTGGTGATTTTTGGCAAGGGGTAGTCGGGGCGCTGACAAAGCCCCCGTATGAACCGTAGCCACTGTCCGCCTCACTGTACAAACTCATTTTATCCAAATCCAGGTAATCATAATCAGAGACGCCGGATCCGGAGGCTCGGCTGCTCTGTGGAGACTCGGCGTCGGGGGTCTGTACAAGAATATTCCGAGCGCAAGCCAGGCAAATGTTGTGGGAGCACGGCAGTATGATGGGCTCCCGGTAAAAAGAGCCGCAAACAGGGCATTTTAACTCTTCCTCCAGTTCATCCATGGCTGCTACTCTGAGGTGAAAGATTCCTCTATGGCGCGTAAGTACGACGAGAAGTTGGAGCAGAGCCTTGGCTAATTAGTCTGCTGCTCTGTTCGTGCGTAAATGGAGCTCCTGTCGCGTCCTGCTGCGACTATAGCAAGTGCAACCTTGACCAGAGGAAAGGCATTCAGCAGCGAGGAGGAAGACTAACCGATACACACTCTTCACCAATAAGCAAAGAGCATCAGCTCAGACCTGTTACCATTGGATAACCAGTGGATTCCAACCAACCATTGGACAACTCAGCTGTCAGTGTGCAGAGCTCCGGATAATGAGCTTTACAGAGCGATACAACAACAGACACTTAAGCCTTGTAATACCAGCCTTATTGTTTAGTGGATTAGAAGGAAAACAATGCAAGACTATACCGAACAACGAATATCATGCAGATATGACAGATTAGCTGTAATTTATTTCTCTATAAGCTTCTTTGGAAACAACAAATCCAAGAGAATAGTGTGGACAGTTTTAGAGGAGGCTCTTAAGATGATTAATCTACTGGTAGAATTCAGAGTCTGCTATTTACTTAAAACATAGGAACATCACAATGTAAACACATTCAGTTACAAGTCCTGTTAAGTCCTGCACTGAAAACATTAAAGTATGAATTAGTCCTGATTTCAGAAGGCTACATTATTAGTGATGCATTAATGAGTATCCTGCATTTTTAACTGCTTTAGACTATTGTAAATGCTTTAGATTGGAAAAGCTCATCACTTAGCAAAGCCACGTGCTTAGTTATATGGCTGCAACCACTGATCATTTCTTATTAGCATTTTACCATATTGATTGAGCAATTGATTGTTTTGCTTATAAAAATGTCAAAAAGACCATGAAAAGTGCCCCAGTGCAAACTCAGAGTTCAAGGTGGCATCTTGCTTGTTTTGTCCAAAACTCAAAAATATTTAAGTTATAATGAAACAAATTTAAGAAAGGCAATAAACCATAAGATTTGATAGACTGGAAATACTAAAGTAAATACTTAAAGCAACGTTTAGCTACTTTCCATCTCAGATTTTTCTGAATGAGAGGAAAAGGAACTTTCTCAAGCCAGGATCTACATATAAAACCCCACAAAGCTTTGTACAGCTGCTGCACAGTATAAACCTTATTTGAACAGTTTCTCCTCTCAGCTGCCGAGGGAGCTGAGAGGAGGAGAGTCATGGAGGAGAGTGAAGACATGGAAACTGACACCTTGTGAGATAAGATAAAGCAGCGGCAGCTCTCCACTGCTCTCAAAAGAGGTTTCTCTTGAGCCTCTCCATCTCTGTGGCCAAATATTTCAGTCATGTCTGAGGCATTTGTGGCAATGTGAGCTTCTAGTTCTAGTCTTCAGTGAGGCCAATAGGAAAACTAAATGAAGTAATCCCATTTAATGCAGTGCCTGTTTCTCAGATCCACTGAGGGCAACATGAGGCCACTCAGCGTGATTGCATGTGGGTATTTTCTGAAGCCATCTGAGACTGGGAAGAGCATTAATCTGGACTTTTTTCTAACAAAGATCGTCTGTCTGGCATCCAGTAATGTGCGCTGATAAACATACCAAAGTAAAAGTGTGAATAATCTCATTAAGATCTGTGAAAATGTTGATTCAAAGCAAATGCTCAAGACAAACATGGATTTATAGTTGGCATCCCAGCCAAACATCCTCCTGTCAACATTTCCTTTGTCGGTGTAGCCACCTGATAAAAGGTGCTTTAGATAATCACTGCTGTGACACTATCCAGGCATGAAATGTTTCTGTTCATCGATAATGTTGCTGCTTATTATTCTCTAAGATTTGTGAAAATACACAACAAATGGCCAGTTTATCCATATAAATATTCCCCTAAATCAAACCAAACACAGTGTTGATTTAGAGCAAATGTTAGTAACAAGACCATCAGCTATTTCCGGATGCGCGCTTGCTGACGCCTCCATCATGATGACGTTGTTCTCCGTGTAATCTCCTCAGTTTGGGGGCACACTGCATCTTCCTGTTTGTTGCCTTTGAGTATAAGTGGCCAATCCTGCAAAATCTTTATTTCCTTTTTTGTTTGTGGTGCCAGCCCCCTCTCTCTCTCGTCTCCTGCCAGGACAGACACAGCAGGCAGCTCTGAGAGGAAAAATCCTCCAATTTCTTCTTACTTTTCAGAGATTACATCCCAGAATGTGTCTGAGTCTGTGATAAAGCAGCTGTAGTGTAGTAACGTATATAAAAGGAGAAGGGAGATACCGCAAAAATGTGTACCTTTAGAAATTGTTGGTTCAAAAAATAGCTGTTTTGTGATACACAACACACACAACAGTATCAGAAAACAGACCCATTAAAGTAGAAGTGACATGTTTGCAGGTTCACTGGCTAAACTTTTCAGATTGTTCATGTATTTAAAAAAAATACATAGCTAATTACGGTTGCTAAGCCGGTCACATAATGCAGTTTGTAATAGCAACAGTGGCAGATTTAAAACTCAAAATTATTTCTGAAACAAAGGATCCTTGCTTTTAAATGGATCTAAACAGCCTCTCCTTTTTAGTTCCTGACCATCAATCAACAGCAGAAGTGATAACTTGCTAATTTTATTACTTTTAGCTCATTAACTAATTATGTGAATGTCAGCTACATGAGTTATTGTTAGTATTTTCAAACGACAGGCTATGTTTCAGTTTTAACATAAGGGTTTGAGGATGTGGACTAACTAGTGCTAAACAAATACGTCAGGTGAGTTAATGAATGTAAAGTTCCCAATGAGCAGCAAAGACCATGACAGAGCCGCTAGCATTACCCTAAACTCTGATATACTACAGCATCCACTTCAAAATGTTCGTAGTAGCTGGGAACAAGAGTCTTTTTTTTTTAACTTGTAACCTAACCTGACAAATAAATGTAGTTAAAAATTAGCTACATCTCAGCTTTTAGAAGCAATGCTCAGCTATTACTGTGCTGCTGTGCGTTGGATATGATAACTGTAACTAACACTAGAGATAATAAACACTGCCCTTTTGTTTTTGAAAAGTTAACACAGCGTGCTACAAGGGTCAGATTTACTGCACGCACACCACTTCACCAGCAGGCCTGCTGTGCCTAGTAGGATTTAGCAGCATTTGCTTATGTATCAGTAAACAAATCTGTTCATGAAATAAATCTGCCTTTCGTATTTGTTTACACCTTTGAACAATCTCTCCCTTCTCACCCACCATTCAACAGGAAATCACAAGTTGCTTATAATGAGAACTACACTACACTATAGCTTTAAATGTTCAGATATGTTTACTCACTACAACAGCAGCTCATCACAATACCTTTAATATCTGGATCTTTTACACACCAGAGGGAAAAAAAGCTCCATTGTTAGATAAAGAACTATTCCTGCTCAGAGCTGGCATAATGTACTGGAGGCCACCCCTCCATCCATAAGGGATAAAGTCTTCTTTGTGTGTTGCATTGAGTTTATTAACTTGTCTTACTACAGAATCCCACTGCAGCCCCAGAGGCCATCTGTGTAAAGAAGCACACAGACTGCAGGAGCTTTACAGTGCACAGCTTAGTCTGGATAGGGATCTCTATGGGACACAGCAGTGATATTGTCAAGATATGAATAGAAGCGGCTGATGTTTGTGTAACTGAGCTCCGGCTTAAGAAAAAAAAAAGCGGTTTCACATTTCTTTAAAAGATGAAGTTACTGTAATTTGGGAGGGTGGGTGGTTACACCGGGTCCAAAAATACACAGTGAAACATTTGCACTTTCTTTGAGTTGTACATAAAAAGTTGAGTAGAAATCGTTTAATTCTCCATGAACTGAGAACTGTCAGCAAAATGCTGGTAAGAAATGAATTGTAACGCATAGTTCAAAGATGTCCAGTAGCATTTTAGTGACTATTTCACTGTTTGCATGGGACCTGTTTCACATTGTTGGTAATAAATGGTTAGTTTTCTAACATAATCACAGGAGGAAGCTTGATGTCCTGCATGAAAGTTGAACTTGCCACAAGCCCATTCACGACCCTACACACCATTAAACTCTATCTCATTACATACATGACACAAAACTTGACTTGGCTGTAAATAATGGTGTTTTATACAGTATGAATCACAATGTACAGAAACATCCAATTTGAAAGTAAACCCTATGTACATTTGACAAAGTTAATGGCTTTGTCTAACCTTCAGAAGCTAATGAACCAAACTTATGGATTCACTACTTAAAGATCACTTGCACGTTCACCTCCAGGAACTGTTCCTTATGCAACACTTCTCACATTATCACCATCTGCTATCATGACTCGCTGTGGCAGAACGGGCACCTTGGGTGTCACTCTGCTGACTTCCTGACATCTCAGGGCAATGCAGCATCTTCTACAACCTCAACTGAACTCATGTTTATGTATTCAGTTCCGCCTGTGCCCTTCACATTGACCTGAAAATTGCATTTTCTTGGCACAATATTTGAAAATTGCATAGACCTTCAGGGAGAAACTGGGAATGATTCATCATATTCTTATATCAAAATTCACTATGTTCTAGATGTATGACAGTGAAAACACAGATTTTTTTCCCCCAAAGGTTATTAAATTGTAATTTATGTCTCAAGGCTGATATATCCTGAAGAACTGGGGAGCGAGAGATTCTACAAACATGACCCAGGAAAAATGTAAAGTTAGACAAGTTAAGGTACTGTATGTTCACATTACAGCGTATTGTTGCACATGTGTTGTGCTGCACAGACGTCTGTAGTGTGCAGCGTGGAGCAGGGGTACACCGAAAGTTCAAATTTGTTGAACTTTGACCTGGGTTGTGCTGACCTCTGTGCATGCAGCCAGTCAGTGTTTCACCCTGGCTTCACCTATAATCACAGAAACCCAGGTTAGAATATGTAACCGACGTTTCAGAATTTTCCCAAAGTATACAATAATATGATCTTCATGTTGAGATCAGATAAAGACAGACAACCTATTTAGCTGGTGAAATATCAGCACACAAGTGCTGCTACCAAGACTATCATTAAAAAAAAAGTCTGATCCTCTAAAACATAACACTGGTAACTGATAACAATATTAGCATCGTAGCTGGAGCACTTTTTTTTACAGTGCCCCTGGGATTTTCTACGCAAGTTTCAGCCCTGACCATTGTAGAACAGGCAGCGCAAGGCCCTTGCTTTTCCACTGTAATATGAACATATCTTTATGTGGTGTTTTGCATTAGGTCACCTGTCAGATTTAATTCAAAGATAAGAAAAAAAATATTGCTTGTTGTATTAGTTCAGAAAAGCGAGAAAAAAAAAAAAACACGGTGAAAATTTCAATATGTGCCAAAGATTTTCCTTTCAGTCTAAGGACAGGAGACCTTTTCATTATGACTCTTTACCGTTTTCAGTTCTCTCTAAATTAAAAAGAAAACAGAAGATAAAGCAAGTATAGGTTCACAGTCATGAAGAATGCCAAACAAATTATTCATGCTTTTTGTGAGGACATGCAGCATTATCGGCAAAGAATTACTGATTCAGTGGGTGTAAAAGAAATAAATGGTGTCCTTGCCTGTTTGTTCATCTTTGTGCATGCTGTGTTTAAATAGTGCAGGGAATGAGCACAGAAGGAATGCCATAATGATCTGTTTCTTAGCCACTGATTTGAACTGGCTCTTTGCCTTTGTGTCAGTAAAATCACAAAGGCCAAATCTGCTGAAAGTGCAACTGAAATACATTTACAGTAAGTGCTCAGTTGTGTGCTGGATGTTTGTCTCTGCATGCCTGCTGCACACGTACCTTCCATAAGAGGGGCGAGGGTCAGGGTTATTGTGAATGTCCACAAAACAAGCAATCCACAAGGTAGTGCTGCATCACTGATGGACAGAATGTGTGCTGCCTGAAGAGACGTGAGCAGTGAAAGGCCTCCACATGCAGCATCAGCTCCTGTGCAAACTGTCCTGGATCTGCAGGGAATCAGTACTGCAATTAATAGACTGATGATTTTTTTGTTCTAAATAGGTTGAGAATTAGCTACTCACACAATGTTCTCCTAACACAAAGCAACCTGAGGATTTGGCCACAGAATGGAAAATAGCAATCTTTTCTGGCTTAAAATACAGTCACATCTACGAAAGTGTTTCCAGGCTGCAATGGGCCAATGTGTACAAATGTGACCATTCGAAATTAGTTGAGCATCAAAGAAAGTGTCTTTGGGGGTAATTTATTTGGCTAATATAGTTGGATAGTTCAGCACGGCTTCAAAGTCGAGTGTCAAAAAAATTATGAGTTATGGTACTGAGCAGATGGAGCTAGTTAGTCCCAGTTTCTACTCTTCTCCTTTAAATTATGGCCAGCGCCTTCAACATTCGTGGCACCCCAGATGCAATGCGCTTCAAAAGGCCTCGAGTCATACATTCAGTCTCTCTCCCAACCCCCACCCAGCATCCAGCAGGGTCTCCCCTCTAATGGCATCAGCTCTTTTTACAGCAGGCTTTGTTACTGGCCTGAGGACTCCTTTGTTTACCGCTGATTTAGTGGCAACCGAACAGGTGCAGAAAAATGGAGCACAAGAATGCAATATCCATCAGAGGATATAATGCAATGGGACACCAAAGAGAGCTGTGAAAAACAGACAACAAGGTTGTTGCATGCCACAACCTGAAGCTGAGATATTTAACTTTTTGTAGGCCGACCACCAAATAGCGCACTAATGTGTTAGTGGATAAAGCACTAAGTAGAGAAAATGGATTCAAAAGCACTGGGAGTCTTAATTATTTTGATGTAAGCTCAAGATTAATTTGGAAGCTGGTTGGCTCCATTAAGAGCATTTGAGTCTTTATTTTGGGGTTTTCTGAAATGTCTGCGGAGAAAAACATACGTGGAGTTTCCTTGCATAAAGCCAGAGGCTGAAAAAGTGGGTGGACGTGTTTCAGGCGGAGGAAGAGCTCCAAACCTCCGTGCCACAGAATGCTTCTTTGCCTAATATGACTGCTTGCAGCACACAGCGCATCTTGACAGCAACACAACACTCAGTGTTCTGAGAGGTACGTCACATCTGAAGAAGGTCTGTTTCAAAGGATGAGTTTATTTTGGTAACAAATTTACTCACATACGTTGCTCATGGCAGGAAACACGTAACATAAATCTAAGTACTGTGTGTCTGAGTGGGTGTCTGTCCATGAATGTGTGCGTCCCACCTTTTGCTATTCAGGCTGTTTCCTCACACTTTTGTGTACTGTCCTCCCACTGCTTCCGGCAATCCTTCCTCCCTCTGAGACACCAGCAGAGGTCTGCGTGAGCATCATCTGTCACTGAGTCATGGATGATTGTACCTACATGGGCATTCGACATTTTTACAAACAAGGCAATCCACATTACACAAGTGCCTCTTTTCTGTTTTATGGTGAATATGAGTGGGAATGAAAGCATTTTAGAAAAACAGGCCCCAGGGAGCAGGAACAACGCACATTGTTGCATCTGTGCTTGCTAAACAGTGACAGCATAGTGATCTGAAGAGATTATGTTCAGTGGTAGATGTACTCCAAATCTTTACTTACGTAAAAGCAGCTATTGTATACTGCTAAACAATGAATACTAATATAGGATTTTAAATACTTCATTACAAGAAACAGGACTGGAAACAGAGAAACAAAAAACATATAAGATGATCAAAGAGATGAAGAATGACAGACACAAAATGAAAAAGATTCAGAATTAGTACAAAGAGCTGCAGAATGATGACAAACACAAAATGATTCTAAAGACAACACATTTCAAACAACTGCAGTTGAATAGTAGCTAACACTGGCACATTCACAGAAATGTGCATTAATGTGTTTGTCCTCACAAATAAAAATGATTTTCCACAATTGATTATTCCTACAATATAAACTTTGAAGTCTGAGTCACTGTAAGACCTGGGATATTTCATCCAAAAATTTCATTTTAGGTATATACAGTATGTTTGATCAAATAATGTGACCTGACAGACTGTAACATTGACCTTAAATCAAACTGGAGCCCACAGGGCAGTGTTAGTGCTGGTGCACACACACACACACACACACACACACACACACACACACACCCAACCCATCACAGAAACAAAAGACGGCAGTACAAAGCAGCATCTTTTAGAATCTAATTTTGAAGGAGAATGGGTTTGTTGGATCCATTATGCCTCAACAGACCAACAGTCCTCTGTGTTTGTCAGATGTCTCACCATTAAATTCACCATTAGCAGCAAATGAGAAACCATTAGTTTCACTGTTTCTAATATCACACATGTTCACCACCTCTTGCCTTCACCTGCAGATCTGCACAGGGTGTCATAACTAACGTGAGTATGTGTTAATGTTAATGGATTCCACAGAGCTCTAAGTGTCAGTGAACTTGAACTGCTCCTTAATATTTGAATGAGGGTGAATCATCCACATTGAATCACACAAAAAAAGAACAAAGTACATTATTACA